CTGCAGCACACAACAAATCCCACACAGCAGCAACAGGCGCAGCAGCGGTCCACCTATGCGACGCTTTCGGCGGCAACGCCGGTGCAGGCTTCGCCCACCAGCGCCTACGATCCCTTTCGACGCAGCGATAACAAGCGTCGCAGCATTAGCAAGTCGATATCCAGCATGTTTAGCCGAAGATCCGCATCATCCACTGCGGCAACAAATACGAATACGGGTATGTGATGTCAAGGCACCCTTTAGATATAACAAAATTGCACTTTTGTTTCCTTTTTTTAAACGAACCAAACAAATTCACAAGAAAACAAAACGCAGCAGCGGATGTTGGACTAAAGCCGGTTTTGGGATCTTAACCATCAAATTCACACACACTCACAAATTCACCCACATTTTAGAACATTTTTTAAAATACACTGATTCCAATGGCCGGAGGATTTGTATCTGAATGTCATTTGTGCTTCACACATCTTTAACGCTTGCCAGAAACATATATTCTTGATTTTAAGTGTCAATAACCGAGTCAATAAACGGAACGGTTATCCGTGCTCCTGTCGATTTCTATGAATCGTGCTCCGCTGACTGTTTTCTGCTGCAAATCAAGATTCCTGCTTAAAAGATTGCGTTGTGTGGCTGATAGTTTTATTGTAAACAACTATTTTGTACGAAGGAAAATAAGTATTATATATATATGTGTGTGTGGCTGTGTGTATGTTTGTGTGTGTGGGCGTGTGTGTGTTGGTGTACGCATGGATGTATGTATGCATCTATGAATATATATACACATGCAAGTTTGTTTTCTAATACCTAATTTGGCGTTGTGCTGCAAATTTAAATAAAACGAATTTCTACCAAGTGCTCTCCTCCTCGATTCTCAAGAATTCAAGTAGGCTCTGCAGTTACCATGCTTAGCTAGCAGTTTATCATGCTTAGCTAGTAGTGTAGTGATTTTTTTGGTAATTTTTTTTTTTTGTGAATTTTTTTTTGTGATTTTTTTTTTTTGTGAATTTTTTTTGTGATTTTTTTGTTTTTTTTTTTTGTGTGGATGTATGTACATTTACAAACATGTGCATATTTATGTAAGTACATACGTGTGTATGTACGTGTGTGTATATATGTATGTGTTTATGAATGTATGTACATATATGTGTGTATTTATGTACGTATATGTATGTGTGTGTATGTATGTGTGTGTATGTATGTATGAATGTATGCATTTTTGCATAAAACAAACAAACATGCATACGTAAATATACAAACATGCACACATATATATGCAGACATGCACACAAACGTATATGTACGTATGCATGTATTTATATATGTAAAAATGCATACATGCATGTATATATGTGTATGTATGTGCATATATATGTATGTACATATATGCATGCGTGCATGTTTGCATATATACAAAACTAACATGCATACATGTATATACAAAAAAAAACGTAGCCCAAAAAATCAAAAAAGTTTCATACAAATGTTTTCGCGATTTTTCCACACATGCGGGTGGAATTTCCCGTAACCCCGCCCTAACGTACACCTGCATCACATAAGGTAACTACAGTGAAAATTTCAGCTTCCTAGCTCTTATGGCTTGGGCTATGCATTGATCACCAGTCAATCAGTCGGGTCGAACAGTTTTATATATAGAGATAGGTGTGCACGCTTATGTAATCCCCGAATATGAAAATGCAAATTTTGTATTTCTATTTGATTTTCTTTCAAAGATACCAGAGTTAAATGTATCTTATATTAAATGACTCATATGACAATAATGCTGGCCAGTGGAATCCAGTCTATTACACTACACAACACACGTAGATTTTGTACAATGTCTGCAGACGTCGTTGCTTATAATCAATATGTCTCTCTTTTTCTTTATTGTTTTTTTTTTATCGATATGAAAAATTTTCCACTACGAAAATCTTAGCTTCATCTGGCTTATCACAAATTTACGCATTCTTCACCGGTAAATATTTCACGCTTAAGTAAAAGTTCTATAAATATATATATAATAATATTACCCGTAAACCAACCCAACTAAAAACCAAAAATAAATACATTGTTGTTAGCTATTTAAGCTGTCTAGTATATTGTCCACTCCTGTAGCTTTGTACATATATTGCTCTAACGTTCCCACTTTTATAACTATTTTTACCATTTCTCGTTGTGTTGTTGTTGTTGCTGTTGCAGTTTAACCCATTAAGCGACTTTTTCATTCGAGTCACAACTGATCCAAGATCAATTTTACAGGCGCAGCATCCACGCTGGTGGGTGGCAATAACGGAGAGGTGAGTGCACGCGGCGCCGCACAAGAGCAATCGAGAGGAAACACCTGTGAGACGAGTCTGAGCACCGCGCCACGTCAAGAGGCACAAACGGCCATCACAAACAGCAACACCAACAGCTCAATTGGTGGCTCCACGCAAACATTATCAGCGACACACTCGTCGAGCACATTACACGGCGTGGAGAGTGGTTTACAAACGGGCAGCTTTAACTCGGAGCCAGTGTCCCTGGATTCGGTTGCCTCCATGGGAATTATAGCCAACACCAGCGGCACAGAGCGATCACGTGATTTGGCCTTGTGTGCCGTACTGATGGACGAGTGGCTAAAGGAGCTGGCCGCAATTGCGCTGGAGCAGAGCGTTGTGCTGGTCACAGAGCAATTGCTTTGACAACGGACAGGCAGTTATGCAATACACAATGGTTATCTGATTTGTTGGCGTTTATTTATTTAACCAGTTCAATTATTTTTAAATTAAACCTATTATTTTCTGTTAAATTATCAATATTGTGTTAGTGTATATGTGTAATTTTAACCAATTCGTACGAACAAACTCGCACTTTTGAACAGATTTACCGCAAAAAAAAACACTCGTTACTCTATTTAGTCTATAAGGTTAAAGTTGTTAAAAAATCGTTGCTAGCTGACAAACAGACAATTTTAAAGTGTTCAAATGTAAAAAATTATTCTAATTACAAGCAATAGGCATCTACATATTATATATTCACCTAAATATATATATATATACATAAATCAAAAAAGAAGAGTAACCAAGAGAGAATTATACACCACAACATACCATTTAAATATGTATACATATGTCTATTTTTGCAATATATATTTTATGCTTTTATGTATATACGACATGAAATTATGAACTTTTTAAATAACATAAAAGTATTAACTTGGTCCAATAATTATAAACCATAAATTCAACTGTAAAGAGTTCAATTCTTGGCACATTAATACATCTGTGCATAACATTTTTCATTTAAAATTTTGAGTTTGGGCGCCAATAAAATTTTTTTAGTCCGGTAACACTGTTTGCGCCTGCATAATGTCGATAGCTAAGCCAGTGTTGTAAAAGACACTCGTTGGCTTCTTCTGATTAGATTGTGAAATAACTCGAGAAGTAAATAAATTGATATAAGCGCAAATACAAACACACGTGCAGTATAAACATGCAGAAAATGCTGGGCAGGTTGCAGGCTAACGTGTTACGGCCAAATGGCACAGCACTAGCATTCGTTATACGACGACAGGCATCAACAACCGCAGCGGCTGCTAAGCCAGCAGCAACAAATCTAGCGAACACATCAAAAGGTAACAGCCAAAATGATATATCCTTTTAAGAGTTGATTTATTGATTGTTTTGCCAGAATTTCGTGAGCGTCAGGTGCGTTTCAATATCAAGAACGATCAAACAGATGGGCGACCCCTATATTTGGATGCACAGGCCACAACGCCAATGGATCCGCGCGTCTTGGACGCAATGCTACCTTATTTGACCAATCAGTTTGGTAATCCGCACTCGCGCACACACGCCTATGGCTGGGAATCAGAGCTGGCTATGGAGAAAGGTCGCGACCAGGTCGCAAAACTAATTGGCGCCGATCCTAAGGAGATCATCTTTACTTCCGGCGCAACAGAATCTAACAATATTGCAGTCAAAGGAGTAGCACGTTTCTATGGTACCAACAAGAAGCATGTGATCACAACACAGACCGAACACAAGTGTGTGCTGGACTCGTGCCGAGCACTGGAGAACGAGGGCTTTCGGGTTACATATTTGCCGGTTCAGACCAATGGAATTATTGAACTGCAGCAGCTGGAGGAGGCAATGACACCTGACACATCCCTCGTTTCCATTATGACAGTCAATAATGAAATTGGCGTGCAGCAGCCAATTTTTGAGATTGGCAAGATGTGCCGCTCACGCAAAATTTTCTTTCATACGGATGCGGCACAGGCCGTGGGAAAAATACCCTTAGATGTGAATACAATGAATATTGATCTAATGTCAATATCGGGGCACAAAATTTATGGTCCCAAAGGCGTAGGCGCTTTGTACGTAAGACGACGACCACGCGTGCGTCTCGAGCCTATACAGAGTGGAGGTGGTCAGGAGCGTGGCTTGCGCAGCGGCACCGTCCCCGCCCCTTTGGTTGTGGGTCTGGGCGCAGCGGCCGAGTTGTCAATGCAAGAGATGGACTACGATAAGAAGTGGGTCGATTTTCTGTCCAAGCGCTTGATGGACACATTAACGACAGCTCTGCCACATGTGATACGCAATGGCGATCCGGTACACACATACAGCGGTTGCCTAAATTTGTCTTTTGCCTACGTCGAGGGCGAATCGCTGCTGATGGCACTGAAGGATGTTGCGCTCAGCAGTGGCTCTGCTTGCACTTCAGCATCGCTGGAGCCGTCGTATGTGCTGCGCGCCATTGGTGCAGATGAGGATCTGGCGCACAGCTCCATTCGCTTCGGCATAGGTCGTTTCACCACCGTTGAGGAGGTCGACTATACAGCCAACAAGTGCATCAAACATGTGGAGCGACTGCGCGAAATGTCGCCACTGTGGGAAATGGTGCAGGAGGGTATTGATATAAAGACCATAATATGGTCACAGCACTAGGTCCCCACACATGTTTATTGTTGCAGTTGCAGTTTAAGCAAATAATTTAAATACATTGCACGTTCGACGCAATTGAAAAGTATTTGTTTAATTTTATTTTGTACACAGAAACCACTTAAAATAAGCTTAAGCTGAACTAGGCGTCAAGTTAAGGTGAACGCAAAGTGCAAATGCTAAATAGTAATTAGCATTGCTGTACGAATGGACAAAGTACTGCGGCTGCTTCCAACAGGGGATCAAAGTTCAGTTGGCTTTCTTTTTGGCGTCGCCTCCCAAAATCTTGCGACGCAGCGCAAACATATGCAGGTACAACTGCGGGAAGATGGGAATGTAGCCCAGCATGACAATCCAGAGAAGAGCGTAGTAGGAGAAAGTGGCATTCCATTTATTGGGCATCTCCAAGCTCCAGACGCTGTGCTCCTTGGCATATCGCTGTGCCCACCAGAAGCACAAGAGTTCGCCAGTCACACCAATCGGATAGAGCGCAATGAATGTGGTGTATCTCAAGAAGACCACAATCTTTGGCACCACTTTGATAATGTTTAGGGCATAGAAACCATAGCGAATGATCTCTGTGACGGCCCAGGCGAAGAGCGCAATGGGCAGGCCGGGCGACACCTTGCCCGTTGGTGTGGCCATAACAACGCCAACGACAACCATCATCCGGCTAAACACTTGGAAGGTGGTGACCACAGGATTTGATTTAACCAACCCAAATACCGCATTCAGGATCTCCACAAATGCGGCATTCTGGAATATGATGACGGCAACACGCGTGTAATCCCAAAGCGTTATCTGTGCACGAAACTGGGGACCCTGCAGCACATAGTAGTTGATCAGCTGATACAGGATGTAGCTCCAGCCGCCCACTTGCACGGCATTGTAAGCAAACAGGTAAAGTTTGGTCAAAGACGACGGCTCTTTCGAAGCCGCTTTGCTCGGTTTGCCTGCTACCTTTCCGGACATTCTCAACTGTCTGTGAACTTTCACCCTGCCAGCAGCGTATTACATATGCTTTAAATTGACTAATCGCTATAACGCAACAGTGCGATATCTGTCCGCTACAACTGATAGCCCCACTTTCACCTGACGCTGCGATAGAAGTTGTTTTTTGTATTTTTTACCAAACGAAGTCCGTCACAACTATCGATATCTTTATATCGATAAGCAGACACGCATACACACACATACTGCATTGCCGTATTGCTTATGCTACCGGCGAGGTGAGAACTCTTTCTTCAATTCAGATTGATAATAACGAATTGATAATCGATAGACAATGTTAACAACATCTGTTCTGTTATTGTACGATTTTGGCTGCATTGGTTAACAGCTGTTTAATTTTATTTCGAACGTCGTATTTATTAATGTTTATATCTTAACCTAGGCGCAATATAGTGAAACCTATTTTGTTTCACTCCAAATCTCAACAATATTTTCTCCTTTAATAGTAGAATAAAAGAATTAATTACCAGAAAAAAATTAGTGCGCGTTCGTAATAAGATTTCAGCAAATGTTAAATTCTCGAATTGTTAACAGCTGCTTGTCATGTGTTGTTGCTAGGCGTTGCTGTTCGCCTGCTGAAAACCGAACCGAAAACCGAACGTGTCTGAAAAGTCTGGCACGGTCTGTGCACATGGGTCGGACATACACCTGCCAGCACATGTGGGGCAATTCTTTCCCCTTTTGCTTTGCTCAATTGTCGCTGTGCTGCCGGTCTTAAAGCTTCAGACTTTTATGCTGATCACGGGGCTTGCATTACCCGCCGCAAAATATCCCATAAGTTGTAGCTGGGCAAAGGTGCTGACTAATTTATAGTTAGTGGAAGATATTAATAGATAAAAAAAAATTCAGCATTTATGTTTAAGTATGTATGTATATGCATACGTAAATATGTACAACATTGGCTCTACATGCCGAGCTTTGTGCGCAATGGCAGTTTTATAATCAACACGTGCTGTGTGGGCGGAGGCCTAACAACCACGCCTACCGTCAAATTAATTTGCAAGAACAGTTCTCCAGGCCCAGCGCTATTATCATCAGCTGCCTTATCAACAACTGGCGTCGACTGGTCGACCGAGGGTTGCGACGTGGTGACGGGCGATTCAATTGGACTAGTTTAGACAGCGCCCACAAAAAGGCCGATTGGACAAAGCAGGAAAAACGAGACCCCGCCAAAAGTGAATTCCCTCTTTTTTACCAAGCGACCAGCAAAAATAGCTAAACGATATCTCATCACTTTTAACACTGGTGGAGAAGGTGCGGCCAAGTTGTGTGTGCGAACGAGATGGCAGCTGTTACAGTGGCAGGGGTTTGGTTCAATTGCCATGCGACTGGTCGTCAGTGTATGTGTATCTGTGCCTGCACTGTGATTGTATGTGTGCTTGAATGTTTGCCTGCTGAGTGAGTGTTGCTGTTTGCTCTTTTTCCGAGTGCAGTGATAAGTAACAGTAGTCTTAAGCGATTATTACTGGCAGTTAGGCAAATTGTTTGCAATACGAACTGAGTTGCAGCTTAGCTGTCACTTTTGTTGCAAGGCAACTCAAACAGGTGTTGCCCCTTATGGATAATACTTGTATGTACATATGTACATTCATTGTATATTGAATATTTGTATGCTGTCATGTTTTTTTATTAATTGGGGGCTTGTCTAGCGACACGGCAATATCATTTGCAGTTCTCGCTAACGTACCACAGATGGCGCTGTGGCAAATTGCCAATTTCCCTGGCCAAGCTCGGCAATTACATTCAACAAACAGGCTGAATACGCCCCCAAATGCGCCCGGCCATGCCCCCAGCAACTTGCTAAGCGTCACAAAAAAAAACCTCTGCAGGCAATAGCAATAACAAAGACATACATTCACACATGCATACGTACATATATAGGCATATACATATGTACAGACATGTGTACACACTTGGTAGGAAAGCAACAGCGACATGTTTGTTTGAAATTCTAACGCAAACAACAGAGCTCTTCACCCCCCTCGGCACACAGACACACACGTTGCAGCAGTCGCACGAACATTTTGCGCAAATTTGAGTAGTCATTTTGTTTGTTCACATCACAGGCCAACAGAAATGACGCCAACAATTGCGATTGCGACTACACAACTACAACTATAAATGACGGAACGGTTAGATAGCTGTGGTTGTGGCTGTGGCTGTGGCTGTGGCTGACGCGGTTGCTGTGCTGTGCCTGCTCTATGTACAATGTCTATGGGGGACTGGCTTCTGACTAGTCGAATTGAAATTGATTGTAATGGCGCCTTATAATCATGGCCCCCGGCAGCGGAAGCGACACATCGGGTGCCCCGGACATTTTGTTTTGTGCCCGTCATTTTGCTTATTGCACAAAAGTTAGCTAGGCTCGCAGCAAACCTGAGCAGTGGGCTGGCGACTTAAATGCCGCCGGGCGCACGCGGCAACTACAACTACCTAACCACTAGCGTTCAACTAGCAGCCGCCGCCGCAACACACAAAGACAACTAACAACAAACAAACAAAGCAAAAAACATCTATTATTGTGGGCGTTCAACGTTTTCCCACATGCATTCTAACAGGCAAACAGCACGCCCAGTTGGAGATCGTTGTCACCGCTGCGTGCCCCAACAAAAAGATAAAAGTCTGGCAACGCACACACATCCGAGTACACGTGAGTATGTATGCCTTGCATAAGTACATGTACATACATACATACATATTTATTTTAGTATACGTATGTATGCATGTGCGTGATTGTGAAGAAGCTGCCAACAACCAGAACCAGTTTGTGTGCGTGTGCTGTTGTTGGAGCTGGTCCAACACTCTTCTGTATGTGGTCAGCGTGTGGTCAGCACTTGATGGTTGGCTTGACTTTTTTTTTTTTTTTAGAAAAAATACACCCTACTGCAACCGTGGAATCGCCTACCAGGCGCTATGTATAAACATATGAGTAGAAAGACAATTATCTCTTAATTTAGAAAAATATACAAATCATAGTATTAGTATGCGGATAATACCGTACAAAGTACAAAGAACCACTGAGATCAATCCAGTAGATGGTGATGTTGTTTCCATATTTTCTATTTGAAGATAATTAAAGGGATATCTAACATAGAAGAAACGATCTAGTTATTCCCTTGGAGAGGGTATTATATTTTTGTCATGAAATGTGTAACGCGTAGAAGGAAATATCTGCGACCGAGTCGATATACCCATCTATGTCAGTATATATCTATGCAAACTAGTCTGTCTATTTAAAAGTTGTCGTCATGATCGGGGGGTCGAAAACTAAGTTCTTTTAGAAAAAACATTTTAGTATATATGAGGAAAATCTTATAAAGATATTACTACTATATCGTACAGCTCTTTAGAAAAAACGAGTTGTTGAAAGGCAAATTTTTCTGATAAGATATTTATACTAATGATACCTTCACTAAAATGAACAATTACCAGCTTTACGATCTTCAAGGGTATTTAATCCGCGACTTGCAGAAGATAGCCTTTCGCTCTTGTTATAGTTTTATATTAATCTTTATTGAATATGTTGATTTTTTTCATATTTAAACTACACTGTACCTAAAGATATTCTTTAAATCAAAAATTATAAATATTAAATATAATTCTGAATTGAGATCAGATCAGATTTAATGTGTTAAAAATATTCAATTAATAGGTAAAATAAATAGATAAGGAGTACAAGAATTTGTACACAAGTACTTGTTTGTACGCAAGTATACCCTTCGACTCAAACTTGTAATCATGTTCGATAATCAGCACGCCCAAGTGCCGTCCACGTCCGTGTCCGTGTCCAAGGGAGCTGCTCGCTCTGCCTCTGATTTACGCTGCTGCCGATTGTTGCCGTTGGGGGCCATGGTGTGCTACTTGTTGCTCAGTTGTGTGCGCCTGTTCCCCAAACTGGATTTTGGGGCCTGACTGACCGCACAATTAAAACGGGACGGACATGCATACTGTGTATGCATATTATACATATACATATACATACATATGTATGTATATGTATCTGCGGTCGTTGACACTCGTGATTTTTGTGTCGAAGCACAAGCAAAACGGCAACAAACTCAGCGGCACGTGCTGGGCGTGGTTAATCGCAGCGAGTAACCTTAACCTTAGCTTCCAAAAAAGCTCAAATCACAACCTGTGCTATGAGGCGCCCAAAGTGCAGAGCAAGTGGCTGCGGCCGCCAAAATGCGTTGGCTGCCCCCCAAAAAAACAACAAAAAAAAAACCAGCGTAGAGTTCATTTAAATTGGCTGCCACGCATCGAGTGAATCGTACGAGCAGCTCACCCGGCAAACGGCGAACACACAACGAAAACTTGTTCCGTGAATTTCAATGCCAGCCCGACGAAATGATATTAGCTGCTTATGTCATCATCAACTTTGTGCTCGTCTGGCCCGGCAAAGCGTTTGCGAAATTTTGCGGTGACCCACTGACAACAGAAAATGTTTGCGAAATTTCGCGATTCGCGCAAAATCCTTGGATTTCAAGGTGCGTCCTTCACTTGGCAATGAGAACGGCCTCAGATTACGGTCAAGGCAATAGCAAGTAAGCCAAACGAGAACGAGAACGAGTCGTTAGCCTTGTGCTCTGACGAATGCGGTACACGAAACTGAGGTGCGGCATACAGGCAATATAGAACCATATAAAAGAGTGTATAATAAATAATGGCTATGAGTATGATTGGGAAGGTAAAATCCAGAATATCTCAAAGAGTGAATTAAGTGCGAAGTTAAATAGTCAAAAATGCAAGCCAGTTAAAGGTCTCAAATGCCGCGAGAATCCATGTAGGAGAGTGTGTACACACAAACATACATACATACATATATCGTTATATCTTGTTGCCGAGTAGTAGGGCCCAAGGTTTCACTCGGTTACGGATACAGAAAACAACACATGCCAATATACGCAAGCACAAACAAATAAGCATATTATTATTGTTCTGGGCTGTGTCTGTTGTGTACGGCGTTTTCTGGCCGCCTAATGAAAATGTTGCTGTTCTTGTTTTTTGTTGCTGCAATACGTTTGTTGTACAAACATCCAAAACACACAAAACTCCCGTCAGTCGTCAACACTTCGTCGTGAAGGTGGGTCATTGTGAAATGACAGCGCCGAACCAACCAGGCGCACAGCGCCCAATAGCAGCGAGTGCAAGCGCATGCAGCGCGCGAGTGAGATGGCGTGTGTGACTAGTTTTTGCGTTGAGAGTGTCGTCTCGCTCTCGCTTGGTGCCCTTGCCGCGATGCTGTGCGCCGGTGCTCATTTTTGCTTTCGAAAGAAACAGGTCGAAGCACGCAAAAGACCCGCGGAAATGGAAATACGGCTGGGGCTGCTTCGAGGCACGTGCTCGTCGACGTGCCAGACAGCTGCAAGCTGCCAGCTGCTGCTTGCTGCGCACCTGTTACTTAGTGTCATATTTCGCACAAAAGTTCGTTCGTATTTTTCTGCTACAATTTACGATTTAGACGAGCGAGCGAGCGAGCGAGAGCGAGTGAACGAACCGTTGCCGCGTTGCCAGAGACGTTGGAATTTGAATTTGAATGTCGCTGACGAACCAAGACGTTGTTGCAGCGACAAATTTTAAGCCGCACAAAAATGCCTTAAGACGTGCGGATAAGCCCAACTAATCCGGGCTAAGCGTGCATGTCAAGACATTGCGATGGCTTTTAATCGCCTTAATTAAATTCCATGCCCTCGCCCAAGGAGCACTATAAAAATGCCGTTGGCCAGCATGTCAGGGGTCAGCCAACGGGCGCCATGTTAACGAAAAGCATGTGGCAGACAGGAGCTCAAGAGTAACACAGCCGAAGATATGTATCTCAGCGGCCAGGACGATTTCTCGGCTCCACAGTCCTATGCGAGTTACCTGAACGACAGCTCCGGCGATGTGGCGGGCGCCGTGCTGCCTTTGGGCCACGATTATCCGGCTGAATATCAGCACATGGTGCACGCTCATTGGCGCGGATTTCGAGCACCTCCCATATATTACCGTGCTGGCATTTACATTGCATTCTGTGCACTAATGGGCCTAAATCTGTTCGGGAATGGTTTGGTCATCTGGATATTCTCCACGTAAGTTACGATAACTATTTTTCCCTTGATTGTGCCTTAATGATTTCGCACAGTTCTAAATCTCTGCGTACGCCCTCGAATTTGTTAATCCTGAACCTGGCCATCTTCGATCTGTTCATGTGCACCAATATGCCGCACTATCTGATTAATGCCGCCGTGGGCTATATAGTGGGCGGGGATTTGGGATGCGAGATCTATGCCCTGAACGGCGGCATCTCGGGCATGGGTGCTTCGATAACGAATGCGTTTATTGCCTTCGACCGATACAAGACCATTTCGAATCCCATCGATGGCCGCCTGAGCTATGGACAGATCATTATGTGCATCATATTCACCTGGCTGTGGGCAACGCCGTTTTCGGTGCTGCCTCTCTTCCGGATCTGGGGTCGCTACCAGCCAGGTAAATCCTCAACTCGCCCCATTTTTTATTTAATTATATTATATATTATGTTATTTATTTTTAGAGGGTTTCCTGACCACGTGCAGCTTCGATTACTTGACCAACACGGATGAGAATCGCTTGTTTGTGCGCACCATATTCTTGTGGTCGTATGCCATTCCGATGACCATGATTCTCGTCTCCTACTATAAGCTCTTCACCCATGTGCGCACCCATGAACGCATGCTCTCCGACCAGGCCAAGAGGATGAATGTGAAATCGCTTTCGGCGAAGGCAAACAACGATGCCATGAGTGTGGAACTCAGGATTGCCAAGGCAGCTCTGATTATCTACATGCTCTTCATACTGGCCTGGACGCCCTACTCTGTGGTCGCATTGATAGGCTGCTTCGGTGAGCAGCAATTGATAACTCCATTCATATCCATGCTGCCCATGTTGGCCTGCAAGTCGGTGTCCTGCCTGGACCCCTGGGTATATGCCACGAGCCATCCCAAGTACCGGCTCGAACTCGAACGGCGTCTACCTTGGCTGGGCATACGCGAGAAACATGCCAGCCCCGGTGCATCGGGCGGTCGGGAGAGTGTGGCCAGTGTCAGCGGCGACACATTGGCCATGAGCGTGCAGAACTAATTCGACACGGATGGAATATGTGTGGATGGAATAGGAATATACATATGTATCCATGAGTTATCAAGTGCAAGCAATGAACTACAAGAGTTCCAAAAATACAAAACAAAAAAAGTTGGCATTAAAAAAGAACTGGAATTTGGTTAGTTGAGAGCGGAAGGGAGAGCAGCATGCGATCATGTGTGATAGATAGATTGTTATACTAAAATGCCTTCCACTAAATACATTCAGGCACATTTTCTAGAGCTGACCGCAACACAGACAGAGCCCCGTTCAGCCATGTCCAATGAATGGGCAGCGTTCCAACCACCAGTGTCGAGCAGGAGGTATTTCAAATTTTCTCATTTTTCATTCGACACGAACATCGCGCCAGTTGCAGCGTAGTAGAAGCAGAAGCAGAAGCGAAGCAGCAGCAGCAGCCGCATCAGCCCATGAAGTTGAAAAAGTTGCGCTTCTTTGTTGCTTGCGCACATCCAACCAATCCGCGTGGCCAACAGCAGCGTTTCAATTCAGCGAATGTTCCACATGGTAACAGGCGAACAGGCCGCATAGCAGCCGTTTACAACATTTCTACACTGACTTAAAAACGTGATTGGCTGACTGAGAAAGAGCAGCGAGTGATTGGCTTGCGCCTGTATGCGTGCGTATCTGAGTGCGGGCATGCCTGTGTGTATGTACGTGTATGCCTGTGTGTGTGTGCAGAGTGCGACTATCAGGCTGAATGTGGAATGAGTGGGGTAGAGACTGCGAGCTCACTCCGCCGCCGAGTCATGCCCGAAACATTGCCAAATAGAGCCAACGACGACAATACACACACACACATACACACACGCACGTATGCGCACACGTTTAGTCAGCATGCTGGGGCCGGGGCTTCTTCTTGCTCTTTAAGAAACAACAAACATTTTTACTAGGTCTGCATGAGATTTAGCAGCATGCTCTCCACTCGGCACGATTAGATTTTCAGTGAAAACTCAATAGAAATTATGTTAGAAAGCTCGCAACAGGTGCGAGCGAGATAAATATACGGGTATTTAACGTGTATAGAGTGTGTGTGGGATTAGAGATGTTTCTGCTCTGGCTGCGGCCTGGGCTGCTGCTGCATTCATTTGATATGGTGCTTGGCTCTGTGCTCCTCCACATTGTCGAATGGATAATCCAATTTGCGCGCACTCAATTGTAAAAACGTTTCCCCATATTTTGTATGTACGTAAGAAACACACGGCTAATGGGCCTCTCGTGCGATTCGACGCCAATTTGCGGTCGTTTCCCTTACACTGTGTGCCTGGGCCTGGAGGCAGAGACACAAGACGACTTGTTGCATGTAATAATAATAATAACGAACGAAACGGTATCTCGTAGCTGTTTAGTGGATGATTAAACTGAATTTAATCGTTTGCGAACAGGCGCACAGCACTCAACTGTATGCTGCGACGCCTTCTACAGGCGGCTTGCAGTTTACTTTTTTTTTATTCTTTTTTTTCGAAATTAAAACGATTTCAAATTGCCTACTCAGAAACGTCGCACAGTCGGCACAGCTGTTGTCTCGCTTGCGCCGCTGCATTGAGTTGAAAAGGTGGTTGTTGTGCTGTTCCAGAAGGAGGGGGCAGAGGTAACCGCCGAATGCCCGTTCAGTTTGAAAATTCGCCCAATTTCATTATATCGTTGAAGTTGTACACTTGCCTGCGCATGACTGTTTACAGCAGAGCATTAATATTGATTTACTTGCCGCTCTCTCGCTTGCACTCGTCACTCTCATAATCTAGAAACTCGCTGCTGTTGGTCACACCACTCGCTCTCTTTCTGTCTGCTACATTGTAGCGCATTTATCGTCTTGCTATTATTGTGGCAATCCTAATATGCAATGCCAGCTCATGGGGAGGGCGCCTGTTAACTAGCAGGCGAAGAGCGCGCGAAAATTAACATGACGCAAATCGATAGGCAGACATTAAAGCTGCTCGCTACGCCCAGTTCTGTGACTCTGTTAGCATTTGAACGTTAAAAATTCGATTTTATAGAATGCAGCAACGCCCACAGAGGCCATAAGAGCCGGCCGTCGGTGTTCGGCGGCCGATGAACACCGGCAGTCCCGCTTCAGCTAATTGTACAGAGAGAGAGACTGCCCCGCCTGGCCCGCCCCCTGCAAGTTGAGGTAATGGTAAGTAACAGCGGCGTCGATTTCGACTGCCTACTAACAGACCAGCAGCTACACATTCTGCGCGCCTCTTAGTTATTATGTCAGATCTGCAATGCGCGACTATAAAATACGTAGTCGGCCTCTGAGAATTTATTGACTCGCCGCCCCAGGCAGCGGGTGTGAGTTATAAAATTGATGGCATAAACTGTCATGAATTTATAAATATGAGTGGGCCACACTGTCGCATAAGGCTGCCAGCTGGCCATTGCTGTGCGCCTGCTGCTAATTTTCGCTTGTATGTTGGTAACATTGTCATTTTGAGTGCTCGAGTCTCTCGCCGCAAGTGCTGCCTGCTACTCTGGCAACGCTGCTGTTGCCCATCTATTCGCACCTGCAGCGCGCATGTTAATGCTGCTGGCTATGTAAGAACATTTTGTGATGTTGCCTTGTGTGTGTGTATTTTTGTGTGTGTAGTCGAACATACATATTTGTATTGGAGGCAACCTCAACCTCAACATTCTTGCGGTCGCGTGGCAATGCTGTCGGGCTGCCAGATTCGATCGCTGGACGCCGCGCCACAGCATGTTGGCCCTGGCGCGCGCTCTGGCAACCCTGCTGTCGCTGCGCTCCCCGCTGCACGCTTCACTCGAAATGCCAAAGCATTCCAAGCATAACAATGGCGTCTGCTTTACGCTGTTAGCCTGTTCGGGCGAGTAAGTGAAATTTCATGCAAAACCATTCATCGAAAATTTCAAATTCCCCGCATACTTTTGTGTCGCGCTATTTATTATTTTGTTTTTTTTTTCGACTGCGTGTTCGTGATCATGATGTTTAAGTGTGAGTTATTGTTGGCGTTGGCGTTGTCGCAATCTATTTACATTTATCTATTTGCGTGTGGAATCAAATGAATATCGTATAGAGTGTTGTTACGTTTCCATCTAATCCGTCTAACACCCTTCTAGGTATGTATTTACATATTAAATGTACATTTTATATATGTATGTATGTATGTATTTATTTATAATTAGGTGCTTCATTTTATTTCTGAGCATTTTATTTATGAGCAAATAATTATTAAGTATGTATATTTTTATGAGTATTAACATTCACATTGCTTTCCCTAACGTGTAACGTGCTCCAAGACGACGAATCCACCTTCAACATTAGCTTGCAGCATGTTAGCAGCCGTCGCCTTGCAACATGCAACAAAAACAACTCGCATGGGCAACAACTTGTTGCCTTCGATGTTGGATGCTGTTGATTCGCGTTACTCGCGCTTTATATGTATGTATGTATGTATGTTATCAATGCAAATGCATATACGCACGTTTGCCTGCAGCGACGATTCCTTAAATTCAAGGTGAGCCCAAGTCCAATCCGTAAGGGCAGAGGCAAAGACTGCACCGCCATGCACGCGCATTGGGTCGTTGCTTTGGGGTGGTGGAGCTGCTCCATCTTCTGAGTTAGACGCACTATTGTCCTCTGTAAGTCCTCATTGTAACAAGCGCCCAGAATCATTGTCTTACGCATACGTCGCCCAGACTCACAACAATAAAATCAGCAGCAACAACAACAACAACAGCAACAAAAATGCCAATGCAAAAAGTCGCCATAAAAAAAAGAAGCTACGCGAATTGTCGTCGCATCGCTGAAAGTCGCTTTGCCAGGCGTCGCCCAAAAATAAATGCAACGCACGGTCTCCATATATACTCCGTATTCATCCTACACACACACAGACAGCAGTTGCCTTCGAGATCTCAACTCGTTGATTAACTCGACGGCTCCCAAGTTCATTGCCCCAATTCAAGGCGATGTGCAAGAGGAAATTGAGAAAAAATTTACAAATAAAACATCAAGCAAACAAGAAGGCGTGCTCCGCTTGGGAGTGCCCGACTAGGAGATATCTTGAACCCAGCCCTACCAGCTCCTTCTAACATAAAACACTCGCAAAATTTCTTTTTATGCAATTTTCGGGGGAACGGAGGCAGGTATTTAACACTATAAACAAAATTTACGTTCCAAATTTGATGTCTTTAGCATTTATAAGCTCCGATTTTTATTGATTTCATGAATTTAGGGCAAGTTATAGAGTTTGGCAAAAAATCCCCACGTTCAAAATTTGAAGCCTCTAGTTTATGGTTTCCCATATCGCGTTTGTACATACGTACGGATAGCCAGGTGCTAACCGAGAATCTTTATATTTTTTTAAGGGTCATAAATGCCTCCTGTTACGTACATTTGCACAGAACCATTATACCCTTTTTACCCATTTCGAATAGGTTCAGGGTATAAAAAAAAAGAAGAAATCATAAGGAAATAACCGAGATTGTATGTTTCTTTTAAGTTCTGTGCTCCCATATTATGCTTCAGCTTCTGCTCTGGTTATGCAAATTCCTTTAAAGGTCATGAATCCGACACAAATTAAGTACCAATATGGTTGCTACAAGAATACCCAGTAAATCAGTTTAATATTCCATACTTCATAAATGCAGAGGTTAATATCATTTCTGTAGGAAGTTTAGCTTGGAATAAACATTACGCCCAATTAATATGGTTAAAGTTCTCATGCAAGAAATCATTGACTGAAGGTTTCTATGGCAGCTATATGATATAACGATCCAATGTGATTTGGCTCATATGTAACAAAGAATAAGAGGGTATTATCAATCTGTACAGTGTAGTCAATGGGCTATATCCACAAGTAATATTCAGCAACATACACTTTCATTTTAAGTATTTATTATATGTACATATATGAAACAAACATATATGTATGTAAGTGTAGCCTTTACCAATTAAACTAGCGAAAATATTGCTTAAGTCTAAGACTTGAAATAAACATTTTGTTCTGGAATTGATTTGGCAAGAGACGCATCTGTGTCTAGCACGTATCCTAAGTAGATCTTAACTAAAACCTCTAAAGCTCCGGTTGAGTATATTTAATAATTTTCTTAGTTGAATTAATATAATATTTGGTGCCATTAAATAAGAACTCGTACGGGTATAACTCTATTGCTCTATACTATAACCGGACTGGTAATTATATATATATGTATATAAATTAGTATAGTTGTCTTTTTGCGTGGTAATATCATCGTAGCTTTTGGCTAGCAGAGGAGGACAATGTTGCCGCTCTCGTTGCCTGCAAGGAAGGCGCGATTGAGCGGCAACACCGCGAGAGAGGTGAGTACGCCCCGAAACGTTTCGGAGCGGAGTTTCGTCACAGTATTGAGGGCATGCGAGTTGGCCACATCCGCATAGACACCAACACGATTCCCAGTTGTGGCATAGACCAGTGAGGAGCCAACGCTTTGCAGGAAATGGGCAGGCTCCGGCGGCGGTCTGTAAATAGTAGGCAATGAAATTCGTGTTCGAGAAATTTGATGGCCAACTTACTTGAGCTGATAGTGCAGAATGCCGTCCAGGGCATGCCATACGGCCAGGCTGTGGTCGAGCGCCGAGCTAATAAGCACCTGATCGCTGGGCGCCGTCAGCTGCAGCAAGTCACATTCCATGGGTCGCCAGCTGTTGAGCACAATGCCGGTGCGTGTGTCCAGCTGCACAATGCCGCCCGAGGAGAGACCTGCGGCTAACCAATTGCCCGACGGCGCCACCGCCAGACAGCGTACAGTGGCATTCGGCAAAGCTGCGTGGCAGACGCGCCATTCATTTACATACTGCATGGAGCGCGCATCAATGATCCTGACCGTGGACTCGGCCGTGCCAGCGACCACCAGCGGCGAGTGAGAGGGCAAGCATTTGACAACGGTGACCGCACTGTGCCTGGGCGCATCCAGTATGCTCAGCGGCCGTCCTATGAACGGATCCCACAAGTGCACGCCCGAATCACAGGAGACGACATAGCGCAGCGACTCTAGGAAACTGAGCGAGTGTATGGACTTCTTGTGCGCTGTATAGGTGAACTGACAGGCGGTGCTCTTGCGTCCGTCTCCCTCGCTGCGCAGCGACCACAGTTTGACCGTCTTGTCCTTGGAGGCGGACACAAAGCTATTCTCGTTCTCCAGCGCATAAATAGCTCTCACCGAGTTCGTGTGGCCCACAAAGGATTGCAGGCGAATTTGCTTGAGATTCAGGGCCTGGTTGTCCTTCTCGCTGCGGGTCGTCTCCGACCGCCAGTAGGCCAGCCAGTTGCCTTTAAGATGACGCGTATTGGGCATGTGGTCCAGTTTGTAGGCAACCATATCCAGCAACTCCATGCTGCTGCTAGATACCTGCAGCCGATTGCCAACGACCTGGGTGCCAAAACTATTTGCCGCGGTCTCGCAAGGCGCTGCATCCGTGACATCCACTGGACTAACTATTGCCGACTGGCTAAGCTGGGCCTTGTCCTGTCCAGCGCCCGGCTGCTCATGCTCGTGGCACAAAGTGAGCACAAATTCCATGTTGCTTAACGTGCGTTGCATTATGGACTCGCCCAGGAATCGCAGAAAGGCCAAGTAGGCAGTATGCGCAAGTTCCGGTCCGAATACGTCGCGCAGCTCCTCCAAGGCCCGTTGCTGTTGGCCTGGAGCGCCGCTCAGCGACAGATTGGCCAGATTACAACTAAAGTCGTTCGGTAGTCCAAACGCCTTGTTGAATATCAAAAAGAACGGCGCGAACAGTGACTGGCACAGATGCTCCCGCGTCATGTCCGAGCCCAGGCGCACACTCAGCGCATAGCAGGCGTCCAGAAATTTGCGAGCCAGCAGCGAACGCCCCAGATAGCCACTGGGCATCACCAGATTGGTAGAGCTCAGTAGACGCAGTATCGGCAGCAGGATGGCGTCCAACAGCATGTGCTGCAAGTGCTCCATTATGGTGGCATCCATCAGGCAGGGCAACATGTACTTCACCAGCTGCAGCGAGCTGATGATGGCGCCCTCGAGGCTGCCCGTCATCCGCTTCGAGCAGAGAGCAATCAGCTCACTTATGTGTGGAAAATACTGTAGAAGAAGAAAGTTTTCGCCATAGAGTGCTGCAAAATAAAAGAATTGGAAACATTAGATAAGTTAACAACCGTCAGTAAGGACAAAGAATTTTAAATAAACGTGAGGTTGGAGATTCCCCTGGTGATAGATATATGATCAATAAGATCTGTGAATAACAGCGATGACTAACAAATTAAATATAAATATTCCAATCAATTTATGATATTGTAATGCATGAGACATACCCGCAATGGACATGAGGCACTCGAGAACGCGGGCCGCGCTGCGATCGCCAACAACGCGGGCATTGGCAATGCTGAAGTAATTGAGATTTGAGGCATCTGCCGATGCGTCACCGTCACAGTTGGCCGCTTCGACCTCGGGCAGCAGATTTTCCTGGCCCACATAGCAAAGCGACAGCAGCTTGAGCAGATTGCGTGTTATGTGGCGAGCAGTGAGCACCGGTCCCAAGCGATGCGATAGCCAGACGAGACTCTCGGCGCTCATCTCGCTGATACGATTGTTTTGCAGGGCCTTAGCCTCCGAGATGCGCGATATGACCGAGGCCTGCAGCGAGTCACAGCCGTCGTTATCCGCTTGCGGGGCAGACTCCGTTGACTCATTCGCCGCTGCGCTAGTGACCTGGCTGATGAGCTCAAAGCTGTCGACGCTCTTGCGGGAGCCAATGTCACAATCGATGGCGCTCAGCTGGAAGCTGCGTCTTATGCTGCTGGCGGGTATCTCAATAGTGGGTGAACGTGGCCCAATCAAAGGCGCCGGCAAGGCGGGTGGAGGTGTCTGTTCCTGGCTCTGCAGCGACAACTTATCTGGTGATAATTTGGCGCCGTACATAAGCTCATTGATGGCCAGCTTGTCGGGTGAGCTGCCATCGGACTCTCGCGCCTCCTCCGCAATGGCTGTGGACGGTGGGCGCATATCGAAAGAGTCAATAGATTTGTTCTCCTGATCCTCCTCGAACGTGAATAGCTCCTCAACGTCTGGCTTGGGCTCCGGCTGCGACGCTGGCGGCTCCT